GTAGTAGGGTGCAACGAATGTGGTCAGAAAAGAGTGGTTGAAAATCGCGCTGCACGTTTCAGAAAGGATTAGTTGGCACAACAACGCGAGCAGTGGTGGCAGGGACATCTGCAGGACAATATATTGTCACGCTGTGAGCCGGAGCGCAAAAAGCGAAAACAAGAAGCAAGGAAGAGAAAAGAAAAAGGAAAAGAATAAGAGGCAGACATATATACATATAAATATATCGAGAGAAGAAAGAGCAGCATTTGTAGCTTCCACGGGCGTATGACGCTATATCTGCCACAATGACGACCAGATTCAGTCAAACACGACCTACCGTGATGTTCAGAAAAGAGTGGTTGCAAGTGGGCTTAACTTTCTGAAAGAAATAGTCGGTACAACAGTATGGGACGCAGGCGCGGGTGTAAGGGACACAGATGCGGGACAATATGTACGTGATCATCTCTAGAGAAAAAGAGTGGCATCTGTAACTTCCACAGCAGTATGATGATATCTGCCCGCAATGACAATCAGATTCAGTCAAAAAGATCCGGTGTGAGTAGAGTTCGAAATTGGAATTCCTTTGAGCGTTCACAATGTCAACGGATACCTCGAGCAGTCAGAGCATCCTCACACTGGCGCTTCTCCAAACGTATCTGGCCATATAATTACTCCTCAATCCAGATGCATCTGACCGCAACCGCGTCCAGAACTCAGTGGGCTAGGGAAGTAGAAAGAATGCCACTGCCCACCTCTACCATCAGATTGCAATCTCAATGGCAAGAACACATTCACAAACACGCCAGTGTACAGAGGGGTCGCCGCGCAGGCGTCGTAAGGGCATCGATGATGGAAAAATTGTGGTTGCCAACCCCAACCGTCAATCTCGACGGTATGAGCCTATTGCCGCACCAAGGGCCACACCAAGGGTCGCACTCTTGTTCCCAATGCGCAAGGTTTGTCAGCTCCAGGGTTCGAGCAATCTCACAAGCAAGAACGCATTCACAAAAAAAACACGCCTGTGTAAGGAGGGGGTGTGGGTCAGTGCGAGGTAGAGGTCTGACGGAGTTCTAGCACAGCGGCAAGGGCAAATTGTGGTCGCTAACCTCTGCTGTCGGAGGGCAATCTCGACGGTGTGAGCCAATCAACAAACCGAGGATCGCGCTCTTGTCCCCAATGCCCAAGGCTTGTCAGTTCCAAGGACCAAAGGAACACAAAAGCTTCGATACAATCAGTTCGGCGACAGTTTCCGTCAAGATGGATAGATAGATAGATGTACTTGCGATACTCTAGCGGACCCGTGCAAATGCAAAGGCACCTCCATGCTGGTCGTCCTCGGAGACACCTGACCAGTCAAGGAGCATCCCCATAGCAGAGATGCCTAGTGCTGCCAACTCACTCAGCAAGACTTCCCAAACAGAGGCGGATGGTCTGTTTTCCTCTTTCGGTGAAACATACGCCACAAGTACCCGCCGAGGATCAGACAGTGCAATCCCATGCATTGCACTCAGAACTAGAAGTAGCTCCGTCAAGTCATCCTAGGCCAAATGTCACACAGGGCAAACATTGATTTCCGCCTGGCCATGTTCCACCGCACTTGACGTGCCGTCAGAGAATCGCCTGCACGGTTCAAGTTCTTACACGACAAACTTCTCCTGGAGATGAGACAGGGAGATGGGTTGGGGGGGGGGGGGGGGGGGGGGGGGGGGGGGGGGGGGGGTGGGACCAGACCAAGTGGATCTTGTTCTACTGAAAAGGGAGAGAGGGGAGAGGGGGGACAGGGATGATTTTGAGGAGGATGGGGGAAGTTTCAGGGTTTGCAATACTTTATAAGAAAAGCGGGAGGGGAGGGAGAAGGTAGGGGGGAGGGGGTCAGTGGGCCCGGGCTGCGTACAATTCTTTTAGACTTCGAGAACATGAGAAGAATCAAAACAGAAATGGAGACATTTGGCAGCAATTCAAGCATTTCACGTGGATCGCCACATATCATAGTCCGAACCATACCTTCACCAATCCGAAGGCACCTTCACAATCTGCTTCTCTTTCCTGAACATGGCCGCAGTCCGGTTCACATTCATTCACGATAGCGCCAGAGTTTGGCATATCAAAATTTCTTCTTCTTGCGTGCTGACTTTTTGGTTCCCCATGAAAGGGACCAACTGCTGCAAGGCCAAAATTCGCCATAGCGTAAGGGGAGGGGGGGTCTGTGGTCTGTTTAAAGCTTTAACCACCAAACGACTCGCCGCCTCCTTTTTCCGATGTGCATTCTTCCCTGCCCCCCACATTTCCAACTGTTGCTGGGATAAGGCCTGCTGGCCTACTGGGCGCCACAAGCCATTTTGGTCCACTAGGCCAAGGCTTTTTGCGGCCCAGTGCTAACCGGCACGTGCACACACGATAGCTCGGATGGGTTCTGGTTGTTTTTTAACCATGCATCATTTACTGCACTATTTCACCCCTGTAAATTCATTACGCTGTGGTAGCAATTGCTTTCAAATTGATCAATTTAGACCTTGGCCCTTGGGTATATAAATACTATAAAATTAGTATAAATGCTTTTAGTCCCAATGAACCGATTCTCACACAGTAAATTATATTAGTTGCCCCTTTCACTCCCGGAACTATCATTCTCTCTCTCTCTCTCTCTCTCTCTCTCTCTCTCTCTCTCTCTCTCTCTCTCTCTCTCTCTCTCTCTCTCTCT